TCTTCTTGAGTTGGTCTATTGTTAAGCATCCCAGGCTGAATTTGAATCTGTTCTGTAATATGGCTATGCCATAAGCTTGCAATCTCTTCCCATCAGCCCCCAGCTACTTGGAATAGAGTCACACCATCCAGTCTACAATATCATACTATATTTTTTTAAAAAAAATACACAGCAATGACTATGAACAATTGTTTAGTATAAGTTTTATTGCTAGCTTTTCAAAAATAAGTTATAAAATTTGTGTGAATTTGGTGTCACTGTACTTGAAGCAAATTGATTAGTTTCTTGTCTCTCTGACTAGAAGACCTAATAAGAAAAAGGTAAATGGAAAATGAGTTATTTGGGCTTATGGTTTGACACGGTATAGTACCTGAAGGCAGAAAATCCATGGCAGTGGGAGGAGTTTATCTCTGTGGAGCAGACAAGTGAAGCTGTTTTCATACATTTTTTGAGGACATACAGCAAGAGTCATGAAGCAGAAGCAATGGCGGAATGGTGCCCAGTGACTTATTCCCGGTGGCTTATTAGCCTGCTTGCTTATATCATCTAGGATTACCTGTACACGGGTAGAACCTCCTACAGTGGGCTGGGCACATCAATCACTTGTTTAGAAAATCAGAGTCCCACTCACAAACTAATCTTACAAAGACATTTTCTTTCTTGTTCCCTCCTCTCAAATAAATCTAGCCTGTGTCAAACTGACAATACAAAATGAAAGACAAACCAGCCAGAGCTCCTGAACGCTTGTCAACTTAACGCCCAAACACATCATTATTTAAATGCAACCTTCCCTTTCTTGTTTATGCCCAACATCTCATATTAATATCATTATATCAATATGAAACACATTGCAACTTTGAAAGTCCCACAATCTTTAAAATTCAAAGAAGTTGATGGTTTTCACTCTAAAATAACCAATTTCTCCAAAATTTCAAAGTCTATTACTGTGGGTTCCCAAAAGATAATAAACAAATTAAATAGTTTCATATTCCAAGAAGGAAGAATTAAAGTAATGCCTCTATCAGAACAAAGTGAAATAAAAGTCCAAAATAGGAAAACTTGGGGTTAGACACTGCAGGGTCACTATATAGGCTCCAAACATCTTCCCACAGCACATGTAATGATTTTCATTGGACATTTTATATCCCATGTAACTGAAGAAGATTAAAATTTTCTTAATTCTTGAAATAAGAAACCTAGATTAGCAGGCAGAATAGGGGAGGATGTATGGCTATTAGTATTAATATATTTGTGACAAAATATGTTAAGTTGCACACCAGTAACAATTAAGGCTAATGGGACCTTCTAGATTAATCTCTCCCTCCATTCCTCCCTCTCCCTGTTTCCTTCCACTGCTCTATGTTACCACAGAAAGGATTCTATGCTGGTGCTGGCTTGCTAACACCTGCTCTGATAGTGCCTACCAGCAGGCCCTCTCCTGGCCTGCAGTCATCCTGTATATCCTCTTGTCAGTCACAGTGGGAGGCATGAGGAATCTCTGCTTAACCTTTGCCTCTCCTGTTTCTCCAATCCTTTGGGGTTTCTCCTAAAATTTATAAAGGCACCTTCACGAAAAGTCTAGAAATAATTCAAGCAAGTTATGACACAGTGGTTACTATACACCTCTTTGCCTGGGCTGACTATTCTAACTGAGGAGGCAGAGGATAGCACTCTAACTGCAGTGGTTTACCCTCTGAGGTTCTAGGGCAAGGGTAGTGGGAGAGAGGGTCTCCATGTTTATACAAAATTTAACACCACATTTTCTTTGGGGTAAGAGTGACCACTCCCCCCCCCAAAGCATGGGTGTGACCTTACAAAAGGCTGTGAGATGTGAAAGATTGGGAGAGGGAACAGTTTTGCTAGGATGTCCCCCATCTGGATACCTTGTTCATGCTCCATCTAAATGCGTTTTCGACATGCTGTTTTACTATATTCATTGTTTCTGCTATTGTAGATCCTGTATGTCAAAATCAGCAAGCTGGGCATGATGACACATGCCTAGGTTAAAGTCATATCAGAGGCTAATACAGGAGTACAGTATGTGATAGATATATAAAAACAACATGTCACCAAAAACTAAAAGTATTTTAGAATATAGACATTCTACCATCTCAAAATAGATTCTCCAGATCATGGTCTTGTTTGGCTGCCAAGTATGAAGACGGTGGAATGAGGGTCTTGTTTTTCAAACTACGAGTAAATGTTATGAGAGTAATCCTCAGATACTATTTCAGTTTAATAAATTTATTTACCTCAGGACATTAAAACAAGTTACCAATTCTTTTTTGTTAAAGCTATTGAATCATTAACACTCATCATGTATTTTATTTACAGCTACAGAATGATCCAGAATACAGAAACAAAATTAAGGCACAAGCCATGCTATACCCTAAGCTACAGGCAATTGATACGTGGATGCCATCTTATCGAGAGTATGAAAATGGTCCCTTTTTGACAAGAAAGTTAGCAATTAAGTTGTCAATCCGATATGTAACAGAAGATGAAGAACTGCCAGAGGCAATACTGAGAAATGAGTACATGCCTGAAGGATCAAGAGACTTGTTCAAGTTTGTGAACTGGAGTCACTTCCTTCCTGAGAAGTATAAGAAGAACCATGTTTATAGGGAGCCCGTTCTTGGGAAGCTGAATGCTTCCTGTCCAGGACTTCTGGATAGTAGAGTATCACCTTTGTTAGTCAATGACTCCCAGTTACAAAATTTGCCATTAACTTATATCATCACATGTGAACATGACATCCTAAGAGACGATGGACTTATTTATGTCACCCGACTCAGAAATGCAGGAGTTCCAGTTACACATGAACACATAAAGGATACAATCCATGGAGCCATATCATTTGTCACAGCACCAATGTATTTACATTCAGGTTTGAGAATAATAGATAAGTATATAAGTTGGCTACAAGAAAATCTATAAATCAATTGTACATATAGCTAGGTAGTCAATTAGCTAACAATTTCACCTAAAGGTTATAATTTAAAGTATTTTAAAATTAAAGAGCTTAAACATGATTTGAACTTTGGATAAACCTAATTTTAAGTTAGAATAAATATGGTTAGTATATTTGGGAAGCTACTTAATTTTGATAATTTTCAATTCAATAAAATGGAGATATTAATTTTATTGCCATCTTTTGCCACGGACCGTCCCTCTTGGAGACCGCTATCCACGGGAGAACAGGGTGAAGGATAGGATAGCCAGGATACGACGCAAGGAAATGAAAGACAGACACACTGTGTAGTGAGAATCTGCTGCGATTTTACTAAAATCATGCTTTCATTATATAGTATTCAAACAAAGAACAAGTCAGAAAGTCATGTATCATTATTTGGCACAGTATGAAAACTTCTTTTAGCAATGTTTAAAAAGTATGTTATCAGGAACAGGTGTTAGACACAAAGCGTCCTTAGAAGAGGAACTCTTGTCCTTGGGACTGTAAATCTTAGAAGAGGAACTCCTGTCCTTGGGACTGTAAGCCTCAGGCAAGTGGTTACATCTTATGAACAGAAAGTTTCTGTCTTATTATTGCTATCATGGCCCTTCCTCCTCTTAACCCTTTATTTCGTCTAGTGACCAAATATACCTAATCAGTTTTCTGCACCTGTTGAACTATATTTTTAGTACCTTCTTATGCGGCAGACATCATGGGGGTTGGGGTCTAGCAAGCCTATCCATAAAGTTGAAAGTATAATATAACAGTCTTTGTCCATCAACATTAACCCATCTATTCCCTTGCTCATCATAGGCTCCTGTATAAGGAAGTGAATCAAGGAGTGCGCTGGGGAATTTTCTCTAACTCTCCTT